CGAGGTTAGCGAAACCATACACGTCAATTATGGCAGTTAATAATAACGGGCGTGGACTAAAGTTAGCTCGTTTCAGCAAAAAAGTTGAAAAATAAATATTATGACTTGTCATTTTTCTATGGTACATCTTCACTGAAATTTTATTTTAACATCTTTACAATATATATTTTTACCTATTTACTTATAAAAAATTAAAAAAAGTTAAAAAATAACGATTATGACAATTGTCACTTTTCTATGGTACATCTTCACTGAAATTTTATATTAACATCTTTACAATATATATATTTACCTATTTACTTTAAAAAAATTCAAAAAAGTTAAAAAATAACGATTATGACAATTGTCACTTTTCTATGGTACATCTTCACTGAAATTTTATTTTAACATTTTTACAATATATATTATTACCTATATGCTGACTAAATAGATCAACTTTCGACTAAATTAGTCGTTTTAGTCGACTAAATTAGTTGTTTTAGTCGACTATATTAGTCGTTTTAGTCGTTTTAGTCGACTAAATTAGTCGTTTTAGTCGACTAAATTAGTCGTTTTAGTCGACTATATTAGTCGTTTTAGTCGACTATATTAGTCGTTTTAGTCGACTATATTAGTCGCTTTAGTCGACCAAATTAGTCGACTAATAGACTAATTTAGTCGCTAAAGTTTTTAGTCGATTTTCATGACTACGACTATTAGTCGTAGTTATGGAAATCGACTAATTAACAACACTACCCCTCATCATCATTTACTTAGCTTAACACAAACATATATCTCGAAATCTTTATTCTTCATTTATAAATACAATTGTGTTTAAATTACCAAAAATTACATTAACATAATTAATGAAATATATGTAGATGATCAATCGTTCTGCCATTTCTTGAAGCGCTAAAATGATCCTATCTTGCAAAAATTTAGAGCTAAACTTCAATGAATTATTAAGTGCTAAAGATGCCTTAGTAACAAAAAAGAGACACTGTACAAGATATCCCCTAAATATTAAATGCTGGATGATCCCCTAATTATTAAATGCTGGATGTCTTTTTGGATGGGCATAAAATTATAATTTAAAATTAGAAACTGGAGATTTAATTAACAATATTATTTCAAAAATTATTAGAATGTCATTTTATTCTTATTCAATTTTATTTAAAAAAAATTTATCAACTTTAAGTAATGGACTCTAAAAATAAAAAGGCACAAAATCTCTTGATTTTAAATCCTTTACTGAGAACGATTTAAATGATTTTGAAATTCAATTTAACCGGAAATGTATTCTAGCACGTGATTAGCACGTGTATTTACCCCATAAATTTCAGCCAATGACATTTTAGTATTTTTTTTAATTTATATGAAAATCTTTTAATTCTATATCTAGCTATTTTTTTTTAACCAGAAATACATTCCAGCATGTATGAAATATCCACATTTGGCGAATTTCAAATAAATCTTGCCAAGGACTTTAGAATTAGCTTTTTAGTTTTTTAATATTGGAATTTTTTTTATAAGGATTTTGCATATAAATTTCATAAAATACCCCAAAAAAATAGTTATGGGCAAGAAATTATCTGGTATATATATGCTAGTATGCAACTCTATAAATTTTTTATGATTCTCGGCAAATGATGTGCAATTTGATAGATATTTCCAAACCCCGCGAATTCCATATTAGTGTTGTATAAACGGCTCATTTTGAGCCGATTTTTAAAAACGGCTGATTCAATATTTCATCCAGAAAAATATTACTCAAGTCCGAATATTATGTTCATAGAAGGAACAAAGGTCTGATCATTTATTATCGAAATCTCGAGGCAAAGGGCAATATTTTTCTGGCTAAAATATTGAATTAGCCGTTTTTAACACGAATCCAAATACAATAATACATAATATGAAATTTTAAAACTCGAAAATTAAGAAAGAAAAAACTCGAATTTAATTATTTATATTATTTTCAATTTTAAATGAAAGAATTTTTATAATATTTATATTTAATATAAGAAAAATATCGCGAGAATAGTAGTCCAATGAGAAGGAGGATCTTGTGGAATCTGAGATTTTTCTTTCTAGAAAACGAATTCCCTTCTAATCCAAAATAAATCTTTTATTTAGTAGGATTTTAATAATTGTCATCTCGTTATCTTAATGTAATATCCTTATCTACAAATTTTAATATAAATTTTAAAGTAACGGAGTTGTTGGAAAATATATCTAGACAAAGTATAATAATCATTTTTTTTTAAAAATATTTTAAAATGATAAAAACTATTTTATCATCATTATAAATTATATTTTAATCAGAAAAAAAAACCCAATTTCATTTTTGAAACTTGAACATAAAGCAATCCTTATACTATATACAAGTTCAGATTTATGTGTAGCAAGTGATGGTTGATATACGCATTCACAATAAATGTGATTAGCTCATTCAAATCATCTTAGTTGAGAATTTAACACGATTTATCTGATTCAAAATTTTGAAAATCAAATAGAAAAAATATAAATTATTGGCAAAAAAAAATCTACAGTGATGAACTGTTTTGGAGTGTTGTCGAAATGATAAAAATGTCAGATCTATAAGGTGTGACTAACGTTACAGTCTCAAGTTAAGAAATTTGCCAAGTATTTGTTTATTTTTTTAAAAAAAATAAGGAAAGTTGACCCCTAAGTGAACAAATCTTTTGACTAGCTTTCGATTAATTAATTAATATTTATATTGACACATTTAAAAACATTTCTGAAAATATATCTTATTACAATGAAAATGAATTTAAACGAACCTTGAAATTTAATATTTATATAGACCATTATTACGATTTAAGCGTGATAATTAACTGTATTATAATTTCTTCCCTTAAAATCTGTAATGATCCCGTCTAGTTTTACTTATCCCTTATATAATAATAGAATTAAAATAATTGTAACTATGCAATATAAAATTTATAATATATCCGAAAATTTAAAAATGATAATTTATTTAAAAAAAATTAATATAATAATCTAATATAATTTTATATAATTCAAAATATTAATAATTAATAATTGGGATATGGAATCTCGTGGGATTCGGTGGAATCTTTTTTTTAAATTAAAAAAAATATTTAAATATTTTAGCTTTATATAAAAATTTTAATATTTAGAGAATTTCTTAAGAATTTAATAAAATCTTTCTTTTCTTTCTTTCTTATTACTTTAAGTGATCTTTCTTTTCTTTCTTTCATTACTTTCCTAAAATTTTTTATTTTAATATTTGGAGAATTTCTTATGAATTTAATAATCATCTGTCTGTATACATTTTAATACAATATTTCAATTTAATGAATAAAATTGACTCGTTTATTACTATATTTCGATATTTTTATTTTGTATAAATTTCAATAATATATTTCAATTTATTTCGACAAAGGTTAAAAAAATCACTTAAACTTTAAAGATGGGGTATATTTTACCCCTAATAAATACAAAATTTAAGATTTTATGCTAATTTTCCTAAAATTGCTTAGATTTTAAGACTATATTTCAATTTAATGAATAAAATTGAATTGACCCATTAATACTATATTTATTTAAAATAACATAAAAAAAACATTAAAAAAAAATAATATACCCGACTTAAGCAATAACTCATATTTTAATTTTTCTTTCTTTCTTATTACTTTCCTAAAATTTTTGAAAAAAATATTCACAAAAACAACAAAAAAAAATTGAAAAAACGAAAAAAAACAACTTTTTTTTAAATCTAGCTATTTTTTTATATAATAAAATTAAACTTAAACTCTGACTTAAGCAATAACCCATATTTTAATTTTTCTTTCTTTCTTATTACTTTCCTAAAATTTTTGAAAAAAAATATTCACAAAAACAACAAAAAAAAATTGGAAAAACGAAAAAAAACAACTTTTTTTTAAATCTAGCTATTTTTTTATATAATAAAATTAAACTTAAACTCTGACTTAAGCAATAACCCATATTTTAATTTTTCTTTCTTTCTTATTACTTTCCTAAAATTTTTGAAAAAAAATATTCACAAAAACAACAAAAAAAAATTGGAAAAACGAAAAAAAAACAACTTTTTTTTAAATCTAGCTATTTTTTTATATAATAAAATTAAACTTAAACTCTGACTTAAGCAATAACTCATATTTTAATTTTTCTTTCTTTCTTATTACTTTCCTAAAATTTTTGAAAAAAATATTCACAAAAACAACAAAAAAAAATTGAAAAAACGAAAAAAAACAACTTTTTTTTAAATCTAGCTATTTTTTTATATAATAAAATTAAACTTAAACTCTGACTTAAGCAATAACCCATATTTTAATTTTTCTTTCTTTCTTATTACTTTCCTAAAATTTTTGAAAAAAAATATTCACAAAAACAACAAAAAAAAATTGGAAAAACGAAAAAAAAACAACTTTTTTTTAAATCTAGCTATTTTTTTTTATATAATAAAAATAAACTTAAACTCTATTCATTTTTCCCTTTAACCACCTTTTATCTTTAATAATTTATTTTATCATATAAATGTAATTTCATCAAAACTCATTTTTTTTAAAAAAAATCCCCGAGCACAGATTCGTGGTTCAGACCCATATATTTTAAGTAATTTCTTATTGAACTTATTATAGATATAATATTGAATAGGCAACAAGCCAAGCGATACCTCGCGATGGAGATGCTATTATTGGGGGGGGGGGGGGTCAGGACTAATTTTATGTATCAAATACGCCTAATTCTACTATAAATATATTTTTATTTATTAAGAAATTTTTTTAATTTAATCTTAATTTTCTTTCTCCTGTTTTTATAAGTCAAACCCTTATTCGAAATATATTTTTTTCTATTAAATTTGTTTTTATTTCTAAAATAAAATAATATACTTTTTTTGTCAATTTTTGCCGTCTAGTTTTTATTTTCATTATTTGTTATATAATAAACTAATTAATATAAATTTTCAAAAAGGATAAAAATCATAAATATTTTCGCATGAATATATATTTAAAAAAAAATCGGAATTAAAAAATAAATTATTTATTACAACAATTATTTAATGATACATGACATTTAGTTGAACATTTAAGATTGTTCTTGTAACATTCGCATCTTTTGTTCATGCAACCCATTTTGCAATTACATAACGACGTTTTCCCATAGTTTGTAACACTCCGGGAGGCTCCTATATATTGTTAGCAGTTTAAATAAATAATTAATATATTTTATATAGATGAATTAATTTGAGGAGTATGTTACTATAATAAAAAAAGCTTAAATTACCTATGATTGATATACCTTTGTCGGGAACTTCAAAATCATTTAATTTTATCGTTTTATACAGACTAGAGGCAATAAACGGTGTTGAAATTCTTCCAGCACACGTACCTACCCATATTTTATTTTTTTCAATTTTTAATATTTTCCCTACTAAATTTTTAGGACAGATATTAGTTCTATCTGTCCTATGGATAGGTAATAATACGTGATAACCTAAGATTAGGTTATTTTCTCCAATTATTTGAGAGTAAATTATGTTTTGACGCCCTCGATCATTTAAATATGAAATAAAAGAAGGGGCCCTTTTTAAAATATTAGAAATACTATTCCCAATATTATTGGTAGCACAACTATTTTTCCATATAATTTTGTTGCCAACATTTTTTGAATAAGGACTACTAGTAATATTATGGACAATTTGAAAACACGAATCTTTGTTTGAAACCTTTGCTATTTTAGTAGCAATGTATTCAGCGTTCACATAATTTTGCTCATCGGCAAACAATAAAAAAAGTGACGGCTTATCTGTGAAATAAATAAAAAAAATTATTTAATATCCCCTCTTTCCCTAATCGTTAAATAAAAATATAATTTTCCTTGGTTCCACGTCATTACAGAGAAACCATTACATAGAATGTATTTTACAGAGTAACCTTTATAGAGAAAACAAAAATAGAGAATTTATTTATAGAGAATGTATTTTACAGAGAAACTTTTACAGAGAAATCAATTATAGAGAACGTCGTTAGAGAATTTTTTTATAGAGAATGATTTTACAGAGAATGTTTTTACAGAGAAGGATTTTATAGAGAATTTTTTATAAAAAATTTTATTTAAAGAATATGATTAATAAAAAATTGTTAATCTATTAATGTGTGAATTGTGGCCAGTCAATACAGGGCCAGACAATACTCATCTGTCTATTATTATTCATCGCCTTTATATATCTATTAAATAAAACTTAAGCTCTAATTTTTTGTGTGAATAATGCTAAATGCCTATGGATAATATATATGTCGTATGGGGTTTCGGTATTCGTGGGGATTCGGAATCTCTCAATTTTAAATCATTTACTAAGGGCGATTTTTGGATTTTAAACATCTGATTTCACAGGAATTAGAAATCGGTCCAATAGATAAAATGTTAAAGGGTGGTGGCTAGTCTTCAAACATGGTCATTTATGGCACATTTCCCCTAATGGTAGAACAAAATTTTGACATGATTTGTGAGGAATTCGCGAAATTTATTTTTAAAGATAAGAATAGTTTTGTTAAAAGTTACTTTGGCAATGTAACTGTAACTAGTTAAGTTAGCTTCTAATAATTGAAAAACTTTGTATAAAGATAAACAATTTTCTGTGCCGATTGTAATAATTTTCTTACAATAAAAAATACCCAATTATTCTCTTATATAAGGTAATTATAATATTTAATATTATAATAAAAACTGTAATTTTTTTTCCCCTATGTATGCAGAGCCTAAATAATGATTTCACAAATTTACACAAAAATGTTATATATTATATAGATTTACTTTTTATAAAATAATCATATTCTTTAAATAAAATTTTTTATAAAAAATTCTCTATATAATCATTCTCTGTAAAAACATTCTCTGTGAAATCATTCTCTATAAAATTATTCTCTATAAAAAAATTCTCTATAAACGACATTCTCTATAATTGTTTTCTCTGTAAAAGTTTCTCTATAATTGTTATCTCAAGGGATTCGAACCAAACCCGAACCATATAGTTTTAGGTATCTAATCATATATTATTTTTTATATTATCTATAAAAAACCAGGAGCTATAGCCAATTTTGTAAAAATCGGTTCGACTAACCCCAGTCCTACTTTGGATTTTTGTGAATAAATTAAAAGGAAATGTATTAGAATACAATATTTTTAACATCTAATAATTATATGATAAATGTCATTTTTATATCTTACCTATTATTTTATCTTCTTCAACTTGAGGCAAAGGAGCATGAAAAGGCTCAATAATGGTTAAATCTAAATCCGACTCTTCTGATTCACAAGTAAATAAACATTTGCTATCTAAAATTTGGACAAATAATTAATGGAAATGTTGTTATTTTATATCTTACCCATGACGTTATACTCTTTGATTGGACGAGTTGCACTAACATGTTCAATATATGCTAAATCTAAACAATATTATTTAAGAAATATAAACTTTGGTAAATTTACCGCTGCTATTACTATTTGAATCTTCTTCTTTAATATATGTATTTAGATTTTTATATTGTCTAACATCTAACATTTCATGTAGAATAAATTTAATGAAATTATAATTATAGCTTACCTAATTCTGTAGGCTCGGTAAGGAGCAGAGAATTGCCAGGAATGTGATCAATAATGGTTAAATCTAATTAATTTTATTAACAAATATTTGAGTAATTTTTACCATTGCTATCGATCGAGTCCTCCACATCAATCGTATGAGTATATTTCTCTTTTATAGCATCTAAAATTTAGACAAATAATTAGTGGAAACATAATGTTTATATCACCAATTTCAATTATCGAAGAAGTACTATCGGATTCGGAAGATGTATGGTCTGGCAACTGATAAGGTGTATCAATCATCCACATATCTTATATTTTTAAAAATTATTCAATTTATGCATTAAAATTTATCTTTAATACCATTATTTGATGTCGAGGGTTCGTTAGAATCGAAAAAAACTAAATTTTTAAAAAAAATTAAAAATAAATAACATTATTTTTTACTATTGGCCGCCCTTGTGTTGGAGAATCCTTCATCTTTAGAATATGAAAGAGATAAAAAATAAGTAATCAATGTAAAAAACAATACCATTATCAGAACATGATGTTAAATCCATTTCATTTGTACTAGAGATTATTTCTTGGTTATGATCACGAGCGTAAAATACCTCGTAAGGTGTGCTTTTAATGATTCTACTATAATTGTTATTTATTTTAGAAACAATTTTGGGAAGCTGGTGGGCCCAGTAGTTTTTTTAGTTTCCAACATATACGCAGATATGCGCGTTTCCAAGGTAGAATTTGCTCTTTCGATGAGCCCGTTTGTCTCAGGGTGCCTAGGCCTGGAATGAATAATCATTATGGATGGAAACTCCGTATTTATCATCTCTGTAAATAAGTTATCTAAGAATAAGAATTAATTAGATATTTATAAATAATAAATTACTCTTAAATTCCCTACCATTGTCACTCTGCACAATTTTTGGAGGCCCAAATTGATAAAATAAGTTTCTTAAAATATCAACAATTCCTTCCGCTTTTTTTGACGGCAGAGCACTAGCGCATGTAAACTTGCTCAAATGATCTTTAAGGTGGAATATATATTTATAGATACCATCTGGTGTAGATGACATATCAATTAAATCTATTTCCACCCGCCCCCAGACGGAATGGCTTACTAAAGGTTTTCCAACTGGCGCCTTTGGAAGATTTTTTTTTATAGAGCAGATTGGACAATTTTGGATATATTTTATAACGATCTTTTGAGGAATTGAAGCATATACGGATTCTATATTTTTAATTGTTGTGTTGACACCGGGATGATTATTGTCATTATGGTGGACTTTTAATATGGATTGAATATTGGATATGATAATAATGGGTTTTTTTTTTTTTACAAAATAAAGACTCATTTTCTAAATAAAAATAAGAAAAAACTTTAAATTTTAATTTTGCCGGTATATTTAGAATAGATTTATATTTTGGAGTTTTTAATATCGTTTTAAAAATATTATAATCATTATCAGTTTTAGGTAAAAAAATATTAGGCATTGAAAAAAATTTTAAACTAAAATTATATAAAATTATTTTATTTTTAGAAAAATAAAAATAAATTTGAAAATGTAAAAAATAAAAGAAAATAAAATATCTCGAAATATATAAAATAAAAGTTATTTAATTATAAATCAATCAAATTTTTCAAAATTTTGGAAATTTTTCTTTAGTATTAACTTGTTAAGGCCAAAATTTATATTTATACAATTTCATGAAAATAATAAATCAAAAAAAAAGCATAAAATATATAATTTTTTAGCTAACTATGAATATGTTTTTTTTTATAAAAAAGTATATTTATGATATGTACCTTATCTAAGTTCATTTTTTTTAATAGAGCAATCTAGCTCCGTGAAGTTGGCCGAACGATTGGAAGCACTAACGATGAATCATATGTCATTTTTTAGTGCTTCGTTAGTGCTTGTTAGTGCTTCAATCCGTATAGTAGCCGAATTTAAGGAAAAAAAGTTATAAGCAAAAATAAAAATTTGTGCCAACTTCACGCTTAAAAGTCGATTGGAAGCACTAACGATGAAACTTATATCATTCTTTAGTGCTTCGTTAGTAGAGGTTAGTGCTTTAATCAGTTTTGTAGCCGAATTTAAGAATAAAAAGTTATTAGCAAAAAAAATAATAATAAACAAATAATGGCGACGTGCCAAAACAAAAACTATAGGAGTACTAAACATCCGGTTTTCGCCATTATTTAGTGCTTAATTAGTGTATTCAAATTCCATTATTAATTTTGTTAACGGTCATATGAAAAAATTATAAAATGCTAAAGAAATTTTTAGAGGTCAAATTTCGGCTAGAAAATTATGAAAGCACTAACGATGAAACTTATATCATTTTTTAGTGCTTCGTTAGTAGTGATAGTGCTTTAATCGGTTTTGTAGTCGAATTTAAGAATAAAAAGTTATTAGCAAAAAAATAATAATAAACAAATAATGGCGACGTGCCAAAACAAAAACTATAGGAGTACTAAACATCCGGTTTTCGCCATTATTTAGTGTATTTAAATTCCGTAATTAATTTACTTAACCGCCTTATAAAAAAAGTTATTAGCTAAATAAAAATTATGACGTCACGATTTAAGCGTGAAGTTGGCCGAACTAATTTGCGGGCCCTCGACCAGCTTTTGCCCGACCTTCGGCCTGGTTTTATATTAATATATTATACTTTTTTAACATTTGTTAACTCTGAACAATTATTCTGATTTTCATATTTTGTCATATATTATATTATGCATACAAAATAAACTGGCATATAAAAAAATCGCATAATGCAATAATATAATTCTTAGCAACTTACATTGACAAAAGGTTATCAAACTAGTATAATTCTCTGTAACCATTTTAGACAAAATTTTTTATAGAATGGAGTAATAAGGAAAAATTTATAGACCTAAACCAAATCAACAATTTTTGTGGGAGAGATTATAAACGACCAATCCAAATCATAAAACTATGTGATGGTTAGAGCTCCTTTTTAGATGACATTATGGAAGCTAGATAAGTAATCGAGAAAATTATTGTGAGATATTTAAATATCTTAAAGATTATCTTCCATTTTAAATGATATATAAACGACTACACAGTTGACCATTATTGTTTATCTAAAATATGCAATTATATGCTCTCAGCCGTTTTTTGAAAGTAGCTAATACACGCTATTTAGCTACTTTCAAAAAACGTAACGCCCTAAAAAATTAAATAATTACAAAAAAAGTAGCCACTATTATCTATAGCTAACAAAAAAGATAGCGCGCTAAGTAGCTCGCTACTTTAGCAACTTTGGCATCTATGAATTGTATATAAAAAAAATATATATATATAAAGATTCAAAATAACTAATTTTTAAATATTTTATAAGTAATATATTTCTAATATAAATGGATTCATATTTGTTTGTTGTGATGATAACCCAAATTTTATCCCCGAAAATTCCCTTTCTACAGTAACTTGTGTTTCGGGAACCGCCATTACTATAAGAGCGAATTTATATAATTCTGAATTTTCAAATTTTTTTGATTCGCTAAAATATAAAAACTGAACCGGTTTGAACCGTTTTAACAATTTTTTATAAAGGTTTTTCTCCTCCTTTAAAAAATAATTATATCGGTTCGGTTTCGGTTACGGTTACCGTTCTGATATCTAAAAAGGTTTATAAGGGTTTAACAGTTCGCTACGGTTCACTCCGGACTTAACTTTAAGAATGTTATAAGGATAATATTATCTTATATTAAGATCCCCCCAAATTTACCTTATATCCATTATTAAACATTAATCAAATAATAACCAAAAAAAAAATAGAGGAAATCGTAAAAATAATATTTTTATAATATTGAAAAAAACATAATACCAAAAAAATAATAATTAATTTATACATATCTTGTATTGTCTCAAATAATTTCATTTTTACATTTTGCTAAAAAATAAATAAAAAAAAATAATAATCAAGGTCATAAACGGAAAGATAAAATTTTGTCACTTTAAAACCATAACATCATGCCAAAAATTAAATATCATTTTTACCTTTATTCGTAAATTTTGATTGTTACTTCAAAGCCATTAACTTAAAATACCGATAAATCATATGACTACCCTTGTATATCATTATCTAAAGATCATACCAAATAACAAAAAGAAAAATTAGCTTGATCATCGCTTTTGTAATTATTAATTAATAACTTAAACATCATGCCAAAAAAAAATATTACGTATATCATATTTTTTAGCTATAAAATAAAAATAATGTATTTATTTTTATATCTTATCTAATTTAAAGAATTTACTATTAAATATATCTAAAGTCAATTTTCATTTCATTTTATAGACAATATTCTCTCTTAAGTTGGAAAAAAGTAAGAAATAGATTTAATTTCAATATGATAAGCAAGCAATCTCTTGAAATCATTTTTAAAAGGCCTATGTAATATTTTATTAATTAAAAAAGTAATATAAAATGGTTTTATAAAATTTTTGATTATTTCTTAAACGCATTTTTACGATATTTTATTCATTAAAGTAAAATCAACATTTAAGGACTCGGTATCAAAATGAAAAGATTATGTATCTTAACACTTTTCCTTGTTATCAGTGGACAATATCAAATTTTCTCTCAAGATTAGCATTTATATACACAAATATTTCGCCTATTTTCCCCATATTTTTTAACGTTGACATAAGTTATTTTATCTGTCATTTCTCTAATCTTTTCCACCAAGTTTTATAAATCACTTTTTTAATTTATCCACTTAATCTATCTCTTTCCATTTCTTCTTCTATAGTTTTTATTTTCCCAATAGAACCTTTGCAATAAAATTAGTATAATCAGGAAGGGTGTCATTGTATTTTTTTTAATGTGACTTTTATTTACACAAAAACAAAATTTACGATTAATTAGATAAATATATTTTTTTTTAAATCTCCAAAATACAACAAGGAAAAAAAAGAAAAGAAAGAAAGAAAGAAAGAAAGAAAGATAAAACATTCATGACCATAAATCTAAAAAGTAACTAATAATAAACATAATGAATGGTTTGTATACAGGGTTGCCAGGTCAAAATTTTTAAATTGAAGGAAGAAACAATTGGGATTGAATATGAAAATTGTCCAAATGATAAAATGAATTTTCTCCTTCCTTTTTTTTTATGTTCCCGAACCAAATAATATACATTAAAAAAATCATTTCTAATAATAATATTATTAAATATAAAATTATTTATAAAAATAAATCAATTCAAAAATGGTTTCGAATCCCGCTCTCAATAACAAATTATTTGTAATTATCATTGTAATAAAGCTTTGAAATGAAATAACATGTATTACAATACCATGGGTTAGTATCTTTATTATACGGTTCGATTCGATTTCGGCTTCAATATATGAAAATTTTAAATGTTTAAGGTATTGTGAATATAATTTATTTAAATTTTTTTTGGCATCCTTCGAGTTAAAACATAATGTTAAAAATATTTAAATAGATTAAAATTAATTAATTTTTCTGTTATAAGTAATATCTAGGAACAATATATATATACAAAAATATAAAATTATCAAATCTTTCTACAGAAATTTATTGTGATTTTTTTAAGTCCATTTATTTTAATGACTTCTCAATAAGTGCTATGGCTAGTTTTAGATATTGATGTCAAAATATATTTGGAAAGGCTTTGATCTTTTTAAAGTTAGGTATTTATGTTCTTAGAATGATGCCTTTGAAAACCAAATTAGTTCCATGGTTCACCTTTAAGTATGATTATGCTCTTTATCTATATTACAGTCTGATTTCATTTAAGAGAATATTTTAAATAAAATAAACGAAGTACTTGGGTTAACTCTTGTATGATTGATAAACTAATCAGAAAATCACCATCAATATGTAAAATCGCATTAATATGGATTTTATTAGTTTAAGAATTTAAAAATCCTCAATGTAATATTCAGATTTGAAAAACATGAAAAATTAGCTGAATTTCAAGACAACACGAAATCTATATTTATAAAGGCTATAACAAATGCTAATTGCTTTAAGATATACTCCTTTGTTAAACTTCTATTAGTAATATATAAAATTAAGATCAAATAAATTTTGGTTATTTTGAAATTTATATGTGAATTGACTTGGCATCGATATCTAATTTCTAAAATTATGACTAAATAAGAAATTTATCTTTTAAAAAATTATATGTTAAAAAGGGTAGAGTAAAGGTAATTAACTCCAAGATCAATTAAATTATTCTGAATTGTTCCCCAAGATGTCTCTTAGAAGCAAACATATTATTAATACAACTACCATTAAATTTCAATGATCTAAATTACATTAATATATATTTTTTTTTGCAAAAGTGACAGCTCCACAGGTAACAGTACCCAATTTCTTCAATATTACAATGCTGGATTCATTTTTGGGGGATAGAAATAGTTTAGTCGATGCCGTTATAATTATGGAGACCGAATACTATACAACATATGAGTTTAAGTGCGCCAAAGTTTTATACGCGGTAACGTAAAAAGATAAATAAAATAAATACGCATAACTTATTTAATTAACACACGGATACTACCCTAAGATTAAATGAAAACTCCATTATTGGAGGATCAAATTCCATATGTTTTGACCTGTTAGATCCTGGGGCCACGCCACTGCCGGGCTTTTTTTTTAATTCTCGCTATTCTGGCGATTTAAAAAGGACCGTAAATTTAAATGCGTTATTTCTAATTAACATAGTGATTTTTTTTTAAAAGGAAAAAAAAAAATATTTACTTAAACATATTTCCTTTTTAAAATAATTGTGATTTAGTGATATTAAATTATATATTTTATCGGGTTAAAGAGTAAAAGAGATTTAAGACAGAGAGAGGGTGGGTAGCAAATTTTTGCTCCTCGCTCATCTGATTGACTAAATCATTTTATGAATTTATGATCTTTATCAAGAAATCATCTCATTATTTGTTCATCTATCTCTAACCACTAGGGCGTGTACTAGAAGGTTAAGAAAATGAAAAATATTGAAATCAATTTGATATAAAATTAATATGATGCATTCCAAAGCCAAAGCATGAACTAGTAAATATTGATTAAGAAGATTATATATTTTTTCTTCAAATTTAAAGATTAATTTTTATAATAATCTTCAGAGTTGCTTTCGCTTCTTTCTAAAAGACGCTAGCTTCCTCTGCCAGAGATTTTAAAAGGTGCGCGCTACCGCCAAATCAGAAAAAAGTAATCACAGATTCTTAGCCGTTCTTTTATTTTTTAGCTTTATGACGCAAAATACACAAAACAAAACAAAAAAATTTCCTTTTCCCTTTCTTATCTTTTCTTTTCAAAATAGTTTGATAAATTTAAATTAAGCCTTTTTCATTTTTTTTTTATTGTATTCAATAAATACATTAATAATTCTTTATATAGCATGATCTTAAAAAGGGAGCTAGCGTTTTTTTCCACTCCCTAACAGCCTTTTTTAAATTTTTTGTTAAAGAAAAATTAAGAAATTTTATAACACTAGTAGCAGCACCGGTCACAATTTTAAGCTTTTGTGGCATATAAAATCTTGGCGTAAAAATCTAAATGATTTTAAAACTAACAATCCATCGCTGGTAAGGTTTAACTATCCAAGCAAATGTTTAATTTTGAATACAAAGTTCTTGAAATTGGTGATTATGGTAATAATTTATTAAATAATTTCTGAAAAATTTATTAAATTTATAATAATCTACATATATAATTTATTTTCTATTAAGGTACTGAGTTACATATTTTTTAAAGCTAACACCATAGGGCCATCAGGAGCTTTTATAGGGATGGCCGCATATAATCAAACTGCACACGTTCAAATACCACTGAGAGAAGCTAAAACATACCAAGATTTTTTTGTGAGAGGATTGCCTTATTATACAACTACAGGTTTAATTTAATTTAATTACACTTTTATTTTACATGCTACTTATAAATTAATTATTAATATGCCAATAAATAAATAATAGATACATACTGAGGGGACCGGGGTTAGTATTACCCACCAAAGATATAATAATTGAATTGCTACAGATAGGTAAAGTAAATTTTTACAAATATTGATAATATTTTTTTTTACATCTTATTTAAGAAATAAATCTTCAATATTTTCTTTATTTGATATTGTAAAATTTGTAAAAACGTATGACCTTTTAGAATTGGTGCATATTATTGGGTCTCTTTATTTAAATATTTTAATTAAAAAAAACACTATTCGAATAAATGGAAATAAATGTTATAATATGAATATATGTCCAAGTGTTCTGTAATTTTATATAGGGAATTAGGTATTGCTAAACGAATCGATTTGACTAGATTATTTTAAAAAACGGTTAATTCAATGCGTTTAATATTGCGTAAGTCTCAAGATTTGGTTTATAGGTGTTCCAAACCTTTTGTGCCAAAAATAGTGAAATCTCCAGGCCCGTAATATTTTTTTTCTGGATAAAATATAGAAGTTAGCCGTTTTTAAAGAAATCGTAATTTAATAGAGCCGTCTAACAACACTGTATTCATATATGGTAGCACTCGTATAACTTGTCAAAGAGGAATTCAAATTTTTTGACATTGTCTTTCGGTGGTCTCTAACTAAGCTGGTATTGGATATTTAATAGCCTTTCCCCGAATGAGTTTTATACTTACTCAATTAGGGTCTTTACATTTAATTAATGGTTAATTTTAAGATATAAAATTAACGCATAATTTTTACTATTGATAAAATTAAAATTATTTTATCAGTTAGAATCGATATTTAGACTGCGAAATATCATCTAACCATTAAGCGTTTTGTTAAAAAATTTTAAATTATACAATGTGTAATTATGTTCGAAATAAGAAAATTACCAGCCCACGGGATAATACTAACCCCGTGTAACCAGATTTCTTCTTTTTTTTTTAAAAAAAAGGAAATCAATAAAATTGTAATAATGTTGACAATTGAATGAAGCTAGAGATCACCCACTAGACGATAAAATTATACAGATATTAAATAAATACAAGAATGATATTAATAAATTTAGCTTCACCAGCAAACACCAATGCTGATGGCGGTCTAGCTCGGGCAAATGCGATGCTTAACAAGGCTGGAAGAACAGGTGCTTTAAAAAAAGTGTGGCTCTTTATATCTGACACTTCTTCTGGGGACCCTGTGGCCATCGCCCAAGCAATGAAAAATAACAGTAAATTTAATTTACTATGAATATATATAAATAGGTGAATTCAATGTCAAGTCAACTGTAAAACACAATTTTCAACCCCGATTCCTTTAAGGTTTTTCTAAAATTAGTTTTTTTTGACAAATGTTTGTACGCGTTATAACTAATAAAAAAAATAATATATTTAGCCCCCAACTCTCTAAATTAGCGGCTGAGATATAGGTATCCTAAATGTCAATTTTAAAGATCTATGAATATGATTGACATAAGAAGCGCCTATTAAATTTCTTTGTGTATAACCTAATGACAGGCCTATAAAGTTTTATAATATAAGATATGTTAAAAAAATTTACTATATGTTAAAGAAAGGAAATGATCATAAAATCCGATTGGCATCTATTTGCTTCTCTTCATAGGATTAGTGAATAAATAAATAAAATTTTCAATCTTGAACCAAGATCATTATGAGTTATGGCAATTTGATCATTAAAACTATTTTACAAAGATTCCTCTTTTAAGATGCTATTATAGTAAATTATTATTTTAATAATATTTTTGAAGAATATGGTTTATAAGCATATTAAAAAAATAACTCTATTGCACGCTATACCAATTAAAGCGAATATTTTTTTTATACTCTCTATATATATCTAAAGAAGGAAACAATATTTTTCCCGAATTTCTTGAATATTTCTAAGTTTTTTGGAGTTTGTTAACTAGAATACACAACGCACATATAAGGGTAAAATATTTTCATTTCATTCTTGTAAATTATATAATGTATAAAAATGATATACAAATGCAAAAAAAAATCAGTTTATATGAAATAAAGTAAAACAATTATTTGCTGGGGTAAAACATAACGATACCCCGCATTTGTCGCATGCTACTTTTGTAATGCCCTTACATCCTACTGAATTCCCACAAGCTCCTATATCTGGCATACTTTCGGCTTGGATAATCTTCCCTATATACATTTTATAGTTATAAATAATACCATCATTTAAAACCCCACTTTTAAGGCTTTTGGGGGTTGTATTGCTTCATCTTACATTGCTCCTTGTAAGGAACAACTTGCTCAACGACGTATAGAATTTCTTCTAGTATAATTGCTTTTAAAATATCTGTTGAGATTCATCACAGGTCGTATTTAATGAAGAACATCATACCCTTCAGTCCCAAAAGGACATTTCTTGTTGTCATTTAGGTGAAACATGATTTATGAACTCCCACCACTGACATAATATTAGCCACATTCTCGATTCTAATATTAGCCTTCCAATATAAACGAGCTCTTGGCCGATTTATAATGCTCATATAGAACAAAATTCCTACGAATTGTTCCATCTAACGACAAATTAAGGAGTCCGCTTATATCTTTTTGAATTGCATATAGATTTGATTGTAGTACTATTGTAGGAAGTTATTTCCAAGTAAAAATTTGAAGTAGTATATAGGATTAACTTTATTGGCGTAGGGTAAACTGACTTTTCAAGGGGCTACTCGTGGAACATTAGTAAAAGAGGATTTCCATATATTTCGTCGTCCTGACAATCCGCCATCTGGATGGCTTGAGTCAGAGTCATTGCTTTCAATATCCGAGACATCTGATTCAATTACCCCTAAAATTATTTATTATAGCATAAGAAATAGTAAATTTACCAGTGTCACATGGTATATATTCTTCATCAGATGAATCACTCAATTGAGAATCCTCACTATCTACCGGTATTCTATAATTTATATCAATAGTCATAGAGCTATAACTTTATTTGGTAAAATTTTCAATAAATATTTTATTATAACAAAAATCGTCTAAATGCGCAATGTTAACCTCAGTTAACATACCATATTATTAGAAATAAAAAAATGTATTGTTATGTTGAAATTTATAAAAATATAATAATTATATAAAATGATATTATTTTTACTAGATTTCAAAATATTTATAGAATTCCACTGGAAGTTGAATGATTTGTAACGAATCAAAATACGAAAAATAAATTTAAATTTCCAAGCTAACCATTTTATAAAGAGCGAAAATTAAATGTATAAAATTTGACAGAAAAAATGATGTTATGTATTATAAAATATATATGTGTTAATTAGAATATACAAAGCGCGTTAAATCGTAAAATCAATTATAACAACATTTATAGCAAAATATTTAAGACGAATAGAGGGTTATTCAATGAATATATATACCATAAAAAAGATTATCATAATCGTAATTTTTTAAAAAATTTTTTTGAGACAAATGTGTAAATTTTTTTTATTAATCTATTTGTTTTTATTATTAATTTAAAATAACGATATAAGCAAAATTAAATATACCTAGAATTTATAATAATGACAAAATCTTTATATTGACCTTTATTTATAAAAAATAATTTGTCTTTCTTGTTAATATGAAAGTAAATTGTATGTTTTATATATATATAAAACAAAATATCCCCCTCAGAAACCATAAAAATATACATATTATATCACGAAACAATTACCAATTTTTACATTTGGATTAATGTAAAATGCGAAATCTTCTAAAACTATGCTCCGCTCAACTTGAAATTTTGCACATGTATTTAATGGTCTAACATTAGGCTATTAATAATGAAATTTAAATGAGGCTTCCATATATATCCAAAGATATTCAAATTAAAGGCAATAAAATTTGCCCCAATGTTTCATTTCTTTGCCCATATAGTGACCCGTATCTCAGCCGCTGTTTGGAAGTGAGGGCGAAAGTTAATGCAAAACTCAAGTTTAATATATATTTCAGTGGCGTCATTGGAGAGGGGGGGGCAGGGGCTCGAGCCCCATAAAAATTTAAATAGCCTACTAGAGCAAAATATTTTTTTTATTGGCTCCTTAATATCCCCTTGAACTAAAAATAATTTTTTTTGATTGACCACTGAATGATATCTTTTATACATTAAGTAATATATAGATATTATTTTATTATTTATAAATTAATAAGACTATTTAAATTTTTGTTAAATGAATATTATTTTAATTATTAGATTAGATTAATGCCTATAAATTATATTCTCACTATGTCATCTGTATTAAAAATATAATATCAATAACTCACTAAATATTAATTTAGCTTTAACAGTTGAAGTTTAATTGAATTTTATTATTTAACCCTAATTAAATAAATATAATCATATATTATTTGAAAATTAACAAATTTAATATTGTAATTAGCCGAGTTCAAAATGACTAATAAACTGTATATTTATTTTGAAATTTTATTATCATACCTTAAAAATATTTTCAAGGTCCAAATAAATAAGTATAAGAGATTTCTTTATAAAAAGTAAGTAGACATATAGTTTATAATCCTCTACTATATACAGTTGTTTAATATTAGATATAATGCCAATTTTATAGACGTATTTGACAGTTATATAATATATTACAGTTAATATTATAATAAAATTTACTGATAAATGGTTTTGATAATAAATATAATAACAAATTGCATTTAAGTATTTAACGACATTTTATTATTCATCCAGATGTAATAAATTTGATATACTTTCTTCTCTTTTTACATGTTGAAAGCTATTTTTTTCTTTTTCGAAAAACAATCTTGAGTTAAATTTTTAATACAAGTATATTTTTGATATTATTACAAACTACTATTATTTTAAGATATAATATACCAAGGTGGTGCGACAATATATAAAATCTAAATTGTTTCATCATATCATTCTGGTCCTTATTTTATATTTAGAAAATGTTTTAGTTCTAATATGGCCAAGCCGTTTAAATAACCCCAGGCTTCAATATATTTGCTAAATTATTTCTTCCAAAGATTTTAGTGTTTTTATTTTATCAATTTATCCAACATAATAAATTCTGATATTAGTTTACATCGTGAGTGTCATGGCTATTACTGCAAATTAACCAGCATCTATTATTTGTTTTGCTATGTAATTTAATTGCTATAACGGCTGAGAGCATATAATTGCATATTTTAGATAAACAATAATGGTCAACTGTGTCGTTTATATATCATTTAAAATGGAAGAAAATCTTTTAGAAATTTAAATATCTCACAATAATTTTCTCGATTACTTATAGCTTCCATAATGTCATCAGCTCTAACCACCATATAGTTTTATGATTTGGATTGGTCGTTTATACTCTCTCCCACAAAAATTGTTGATTTGGTTTAGGCCTATAAATTTTTCCTTATTACTCCATTCTATAAAAAAATGTCTAAAATGGTTGCAGAGAATTTTACTAGTTTGATAACCTTGTGTCAATGTAAGTTGTTAAGAATTATATTATTGCATTATGTGATTTTTTTATATGCCAGTTTATTTTGTATGCATAATATAATATATGACAAAATATGAAAATCAGAATAATTGTTCAGAGTTAACAAATGTTAAAAAAGTATAATATATTAATATAAAACCAGGCCGAAGGTCGGGCAACAGCGGCCGAGGGCCCGCAAATTGAGGGTTGAGCCCTGAGATTGTGAAGGCTAGCGACGCCCCTGATATATTTCCATTAAGAACACAAAAATCAAAATATAAATTGGATTTAGGTGAAAACATTAGTAAAATAATTTTTCTATCAATTTTATAGAATATGAGTTCTCAATTCATTTCTAAAACTGACGCATTCAAGATTTAGGGGAAAATTTTAACGGTTTTATCTTTATTCAATAATTGACGAAATGCTTAATTTGATTTTGATAAATTTTTTTAAAATTATTTACTAGAAACAGAAATATATGTTTATGCGTTATTCAACAAAGTGGACCCCGATAAACTGAACGGAATAGCTTCACCAGGCAATGTGATGTGGTTTGACAACTATTGTAATGCTTTTCAATATATTTTTACTCTTTAACTACTTACCTCATTACTCCAAACTGGATTAATTAAAAAACGCGCCTTTCTGCAAATAAAGATATCATCTATAATTACCATTGATTAATTTCATAATATCATGAAAATATTTAATGTATTAATATTACTTTTACTTTTTTATATTTTTATACATTTCTCTAAAAATTATCAAATTTGGGAAATATTTGTGTGCTTTCAAAATTCAAACCCTATTTTTAAATATAAAAATTTTTTAATCCATAAATTTAAAGATTACCCATATATTTTCACTACATAGTTTTTTTAAATTGTGAAAATTTATTATAATATTACATTCTATTATATAATATATATATAAATACACTAATTATTAATTATTAATATTTTAAATTATATAAAATTATATTAGATTATTATATTAATTTTTTTAAATAAATTATCATTTTTAAATTTTCGGATATATTATAAATTTTATATTGCGTAGTTACAATTATTTTAATTCTATTATTATATAAGGGATAAGTAAAACTATCATTACAGATTTTAAGGGAAGAAATTATAATACGGTTAATTATCGCGCTTAAATCGTAATAATGATCTATATAAATATTAAATTTCAAGGTTCGTTTAAATTTATTTTCATTGTTATTACATATATTTTCAGAAATGTTTTTATGTGTCAATATTTAATTAATTAATCGACAGCTAGTCAAAAGATACGTCCACTTAGGGGTCAACTTTCCTTATTTATTTTGAATAAATAAACAAATACTTGGCAAATTTCTTAACTTGAGACTGTAACGTGAGCCACACTTTATAAATCTGGCATTTTTATCATTTCGACTCTTTAACACTCCAAAACAGTCACTGTAGATTTTTTTTTGCCAATAATTTATATTTTTTTCTATTTGACTTTCAAAATTTTGAATCAGATAAATCGTTTTAAATTCTCAACTAAGATGATTTGTGTTAAAACAACCTTATATTTTATTATTTTTCTAACCAACACTCTTTTTTAATAATATATATATATATATATATATATGTTTAGTTTCTTTTTTTTTTGTTTTTACTTACTTCAAGTTTAACGCGGTAGTCTTTTTTTTTTCTTTATTTTTTTTCTTTTAAAAAACAAGTACAAAAAAAAAATTTAATTAAATGTTTTTCCATTATTTTCTTCAATTATATATTTATTTTTCACCACATCATCGTTATTCATCAAAAAAAATAATTATTATTATTTACACAAAAAAATAACAATAATTTATATAAAAAAAAATAATAATAATTTATAACAACAAAATATTAATTTACAAAATAACCATTCCTTTTTGCGTTCATCCTTGACAATTTGAATGAGCTAATCACATTTATTGTGAATGCGTATATCAACCATCACTTGCTACACATAAATCTGAACTTGTATATAGTATAAGGATTGCTTTATGTTCAACTATATATAGTAGATATCAAAAACAACCATAATATTATTCCCGCTTTCTAAAACTTATAAAGCTAAGCTAACCGATTAAGCATTAAAATATGAGCTGTGAATCAGCTTTTGAATGTGGTAACGAGAATATTTTGGAAAAAAAGGTACTCAATATATTTTCATGAACCAAATTTGATATATTATTATTTTGTTTTATAAATTGTAGAGGCAATGAATTTCTGAAATAATTTATCTTAATTCTATATCTATCTTTTATAATAAAATTGATATAGCGCAGCATATATCGAGAATGTTTTAGTACTTCAATCATTTTATATGTATACGTTAATCGAGTTAAGGAAGATTTTCTTTAATTCCTCTAAGATATGGTTATTTAACACAATTTTTGAAAGCTTTTGTTCTTCTACATCATATGCTTTTGATTATTTATGAATCAGGAAAGGCTATATAGTGCAATCCCTAAATGAATAACTAAGGGAATATTTTTCAGTGTTATAGATGAATGTAGATTCGGTCATTTCAATATAATCATAAATTGTTGTTTTTAAATGATTGGATATTATTTGATGATTCCTTAATTATAAATTACAAATATTTTTACATCATGGAGTTCCTTATAACTGATAATAAATTTTGTTTTGCATATTATACTAATTGCATTTAAAATATTTTCTTTATCTTTTTAGACCAATGAATAAATGAAATTCAATGGTATTTTGATATTTACAATTTACATTTTTTTATATGTTAAACTAGTCCTTAATGAATTTATATATAATTTAAATTGTTGGAATAAAATTGAAATAAATAAAATAAAATAATAAAACTATATTTAATTAATCAAAAATTATTAGGTTATATAAGATAAATTTTAAATAGTTTACTTCTCAAATATCATTTTATATAGATTGATTTCTAAAAAAAAATCTTCATATTTACACAAGAACATGGGCGCCACTAGGTATCCTTACAATCTCAGGGGGCTTAACTAATAAAAATTATATGGGAGACTTCACACACAAACCCCATATTCTGCGGTTTTGGGCTCGCATTTGATTAGGTTTTATATTAATATATAGTACTTTCTTTTAAATTGAAATTAGCTAAACTCAACAATAATTTCTGAATTTTGTCATTTTATGCACCCATATAATGAATGTTAAACAATACATTACAAGACATTTTTAAAGATAATATATTTTAATATATAATATTTATCCATTTATTACACTATATTTTCGATCTCGAATATATAAAATTTTTCTGTCTAAAGTATCACAAGTGATAAAAAAAGTTTACCTCATATGATAATGATTTTTAAAAACCACACAAGGCAATATAATTTTTAGCATAAAACTAATGTAACCTTGTGTTATAGAATTTATTAATAAGAAAAAATTAGTAGGGCCTAAACAAATTAATAATTCTTGAAGAAGAATATAAACGACAAATACAAATCATAAAACTACATTGTGATTAGACCTAGATGACATTCAGGAAGATATATAAGAAATCAATAAAATTAGTGAGATATTAAATTTCTAAAAAATTATCTTCCATTTTTATTCATATATAAACGACTAGACATTTAACCATTGTTGCTTATCTGAAATATGCAATCATATGCTCTCAGAAGCTGTAGTAATAATCTTAAATTTTCATAACCACACAAATAATAAATGCTGGGTAATTTGCGGTTATAGCCATGATAGTCACGATGTAAACTCATATCAGTATTTATTATGTTAGATGAATTAAAAAAAAACACTAAAATCCTTTGGAAGAAATAATTATCCAAATATATTGAAGCCTTGAGTTAATTACACGGTTAGGATGCCATATTAGAAATGAATCATATAGTAACTAGAATATAAGAACCAAGTGATATGATGAAAACAATTAAGATCTTACATATTATTGTCGACACCACCTCTAGTTGTTTTATTATGTTTTTAAATAATAGAAGTTTGTAATAATATCAAAAATATACTCGTATTAAAAATTTAACTTAAAACTGTTTATCAAAGAAGAACAAATTTTTCCTAAAAATACTTTAAAAAAAAGAAAAGGCAAAAAAAAGCCTTATTAGATATTGCGATAAATAATAAGTTGTTTAATTTTTAATAATATATATAATAAAATAAATAGATGGCGTAAAATATTTTAAATTTTACTTATATTTATAATCAAAAACATTGTAAAGTAAAGTTTATTAAAATGTTAACTTTAATATATTATATAACTGCTGTCAAATGTGCCTAATAAAAGACATTTTACCTAATATTTCATAATAAATTATACATAATGGAGAATTATAAACTATATGTCTACTTACATTTATAAAGAAATTTCTTATACTTGTTTGGACCTTAAAAAATAGTTTTGGGAAGAGGCATGGTAATTAAATTTAAAAATGAATAATATAGTTGATTAATGATTTTGAACTCGGCTAATTACAATATTAAATTTTTTAAATTTTCTAAATGATTATATTTTTTTTAATTAGGGTTAATTTAAATATTAAAAATTCAATTAAGCTTCAACTGTTAATACTAAATTAATATTTAGAAATTGTGAGGTATTGATATTTCATTTTTCAACACAGTGACAGAGTGAAAAAGTTATTTATATGTATTAATTTAATCTTCTAACAATTAAAATAGCCACTGATTTAATAAAAATTTAGACATAGATCAAATCTATATAAAATACATATTAGAATTATAAAATAAATTGTTTAGGGGGGTTATCGAAAAATTTATGTCAAAAAAATTTGAAATGCACTTTGAAAAGTTATATGAGTGCTACGTGCTACCATATATGAATACAGTGTTGTTAAACGGCTCTATTAAATTGCGATTTCTTAAAACGGCTAACTTCTATATTTTATCCAGAAAAAAATATTACGCAGGACTGAAGATTTCACTATTTTCGGCACTTAAGGTTTGGAACACCTATAAACCAAATCTTGAGACTTAGGCAATATCGGCTAAACACATTGAGTTAACCGTTTTTTAAAATAATCTAGTCAAATCGATTGTTTAACAATACCTAATTTCATATATAAAATTACAGAACACTTGGACATATATTCCTATTAGAAAATTTATTTTCATTTATTCGAATAGTGTTTTTTAAAATTAAAATATTTTAATAAAGAGACCCAATAATATGCACCAATTCTAAAAGGTCATACGTTTTTACAAATTTTACAATATCAAATAAAGAAAATATTGAAGATTTATTTCTTAAATAAGATGTAAAAAAAAATATGATCAATATTTGTAAAAATTTACTTTACCTATCTGTAGCAATTCAATTATTATATCTTTGGTGGGTAATACTAACCCCGGTCCCCTCAGTTAATATCTATTATTTATTTATTAGCATATTAATAATTAATTTATAAGTAGCATGTAAAATAAAAGTGTAATTAAATTAAATTAAACCTGTAGTTGTATAATAAGGCAATCCTCTCACAAAAAAATCTTGGTATGTTTTAGCTTCTCTCAGTGGTATTTGAACGTGTGCAGTTTGATTATATGCGGCCATCCCTATAAAAGCTCCTGATGGCCCTATGGTGTTAGCTTTAAAAAATATGTAACTCAGTACCTTAATAGAAAATAAATTATATATGTAGATTATTATAAATTTAATAAATTTTTCAGAAATTATTTAATAAATTATTACCATAATCACCAATTTCAAGAACTTTGTATTCAAAATTAAACATTTGCTTGGATAGTTAAACCTTACCAGCGATGGATTGTTAGTTTTAAAATCATTTAGATTTTTACGCCAAGATTTTATATGCCACAAAAGCTTAAAATTGTGACCGGTGCTGCTACTAGTGTTATAAAATTTCTTAATTTTTCTTTAACAAAAAATTTAAAAAAGGCTGTTAGGGAGTGGAAAAAAACGCTAGCTCCCTTTTTAAGATCATGCTATATAAAGAATTATTAATGTATTTATTGAATACAATAAAAAAAAAATGAAAAAGGCTTAATTTAAATTTATCAAACTATTTTGAAAAGAAAAGATAAGAAAGGAAAGGGAAATTTTTTTGTTTTGTTTTGTGTATTTTGCGTCATAAAGCTAAAAAATAAAAGAACGGCTAAGAATCAGTGATTCCTTTTTTCTGATTTGGCGGTAGCGCGCACCTTTTAAAATCTTCGGCAGAGGATAGCGTCTTTTAGAAAGAAGCAAAAGCAACTCTGAAGATTATTATAAAAATTAATCTTTAAATTTGAAGAAAATATATAGAATCATCTCAATCAATATTTACTAGTTCATGCTTTGGCTTTGGAATGCATCATATTAAATTTAT